ATAATGAGCAGCAATTGTTTCTTTATTGACTACAAAATTGCTCTGTTCCACTTCCTATAATTTACTATCAGTGCATAAAGGATGCGCTTTAACCTCATAGCTTTTGTACAGCCTTGAAGAAAACATCTAGCCTCATGATGTTTTAAATTCTGACTGGAAGGAGGAATAAGAGGAGAAAAAAATCTATTTGTCTTTCTCGCTTTCTGTTTGAAAAGCTCTCTTTGCCTTATCTTGAACTATAAGTGTTCAAATAACAAATCAAAGTCTTTCAGAAAGAAATCCCACCATCCAGACATCTGTTAAAATGCAGTGGGTTGTCTCAGATGCCTATCGTAATTCAGGTTTTATTAAAAACAACCCCATAAAGCCCTCACCTCCGTAAAGGTTGTGAGGAAAATCTTCCAAATACGAGTGCCCGTTCAGACAATATAAATTGGAAGGCATGAACTTATTTCTCAGAAGAATGAAGTCCACAGCGTCTAAACTCAAATCAGTTTTTCCAAGACTGACCTCATTTTCTGTTCTACAAGTCTCCTTTTCTCCTTTTCCCAAATACACAACTCCAAACAAAGTAGCAATAACATTGTAGAAATACTCGTTGAATTGTTGTATGCAAAGCAAGGAAAAAGTTGGCTTTGAAAAATACATGAAGCCTAAAATTCCAGTAATGAATGAACTCCACTGTCCTATTTTATATATAATTTTGCAATTCATGTCAAAGAAAAGCAAAAGAAATGTTGCTTCACGAGCTCAGCAGAGTTCACCATGGATTTCAGCTTCTTTCATTGACTGATGTGTCTGGCTTAATCTGTATTCTTGTCTCACTCTGTTGTACTCCTTTGCCAATGAAGCCATGATTTACAGTTTCTACATCTCAGCTTGAGTTCGTGAGAAAAATAAGTACCAGTTTTGGGTGGAGAAAAAAAAAGGAGTTGTCATGACTGTGTTTCACAATAGTCACTTGTTTCCTAATTAAGGGATTCCCATTGGAATTTTTTCTCCAAATAGTTTCTTTGCAATGTTTTCTCATTTTGTTTCCTTTCTCAATTCATTGCCTTTGAAAGTTACCTCTCACACAACATTTATTTTATGTCTGCACAAATATATTTTTGTTAAAAATTAATCTAAAATGAATGTACAGGGTCTTTTGTTATGAAGATTTGCACATTAGTGTTTAAGTATGAATGCAGAGAGAAAGAAAGTGAAAGTATTTGATTTAGGGACAAATTTACCCAATATATGCAAATAGATAAGTATAGCACCAAAAGTCATTGGAATTAGAAAAAATGGAAAGCAAAAGGAAGGACACCAAAGGCTTTGCAGTGCAAAATAGCAAGGACAAATTTATATACTAATTTTGAAATAATATGCTGGACACAGAAAGTAGTGGCAAATCTAATGAAAAATAAATAAATAAATAAATAAACAAGAAAAAAAAAGTGATTTCTTGCTGATCTCACCAGAAAAGAGAGGCCCAGCTTCAAAATGAAATAACTTTTTCTCTTTTACATCCAAAACTGCAATTTGTGGTTAAAATGTTTGGGAATCGTGCCAGCGATGAGTTGCTCACCTGCTATCAGTTACACGGCGTGAAGTCAGAGTCCTTCTGAACTCCGAAGCATTGGCTGACTCACTTGAGTCACAGTTTTCATAACTGCTGATCTTTGCACCGGCATTGATTTTTGTAAAAAGGGATAAAAGAACATCCCTTGATTCAAACTTTTAATCTGTGGTTCTGTAATTGGTGATAATTCGAGCAAAATTTTTGTTATTTTTTATGAAGTGAACCATTTTCAAAGGCTTCTCTCAAATACATGCTTTTACTGGTGTATTAGAGGAACTTTCAAGCAGAGCACCTCCCCTGTCAGGGGCAGTATTCTTTGCAGTGTCCACAGAACCACGTCTGAGAGCGATGTGCACAGTGCCAGAAACGCTCTCCCACTGGCCCTGCAGTCTTCCTCCCCAAAGTATCACCTAGTGAAGACACTAATGTGGTCAGAACTGCGGAGCGATCTTCCCAGCCAGCTATATTTATTCTCTTTACCTATTCCACTTGCAGTTTGTCTTACAAATGAAGAACTTCAGTATGTTACAAACCTGAAGAGAAGTCAGGAGGATGTGCTATCCCTGGAAACCATGCAGTTGGACTAGAAGTTGCCGTGGTATCAAGGAACCTTCTAGTGATTAATTTTTTCTTTAGCTTAACCGATATGCAGATGATCACGTTGCAAGTTGAGCGTGTCCCTGTGTTCAGATCGCTTCCATGGGTGCTCTGCACGGGGAGAGCAATGTTCACAGAAGACCAAGAGTCTGCAAATTCGGTGTGTCCTCGCTGACCAGGCCACAGAGAAGTTTCCTGCAGGGTACCACATGCCTTGTAACCCATTAGTGTATATGAAGGGCTGTTTTTTTGGTCTTAGTCTTGAGGGAGTTATATCTGTTTAGATGAGCTCATTTACTCTGTGTGTTTTCATCTCTATATGTAAGAAATAGAGATAATGGGACATGTTATTCATGCTTTTGCTGTACCTTTTAGCACAAAATATAAACAGCCAGATTTGGCATATTGGGAATGGCGTTCAGTGTTTAAATGGACTCAGTTCTTGGCATTGGTGATAGTAGGGGACCTACTTCAAACTACCGAGTCCGTTTTCACACCTTTTTCTTTTCTTCTCACCAAGCAATTTAGACTTCAGGCTCTGAGTTCCGGCTCTGATTAGCAAGGATTATGTTCTCCTGCTAAGGGGAGCGCAAGTACCCCACCAGATTTCCCAGTGTCTTGGCATTCAGTCCGACTCAATGCTGAGGTGAGACCAATAGCTCTCCAGGCAAGAGCAATGCCAGCCTCTCTCATCTGATACCTCTAGGGATGTGTTTGGCATTGACCTGGCTTGGGCCATCTGACTCCCAGTATCTGCTTCCTTATCTCAGGCTCGCTCTATCCCCTACCTTTCAGTGGCATGGCAAAAAATATCGACACATCATTCTCCTTTGCAGGTTTCGTTGCATCTGTGACACAGTGATTTTCTTAAGATGATGGCTTTGCCACCTGTGACACTTGAAGTAACCCCGTTCACGTATTTTTCTTTTCTATTCTTCTTGGGGAAATGATTCCTTAACAGGAACGTTGTATTAGCACTGTGTTTGTTAGAAGTATTGTATCAGAGAACACTGAACTATGCAACTACCTACTCTTACGAAAAGTTGATGCCTGTGGGGTGTGATGGAATGAACTTGCTTTCTGTTTGTGTTTGAAGATGTTATTAGATACTTAGGTTCCTATTTCTTCGTCATAAGGGTCTGGAATTGGAGTATTCCTCAGAAGCAAACTGTCACCATGGCTATAGCATCAACTACAATTTTGATCCCACCAAAGTTGGTTTCTTGGCTAATTGATCATTTGTGAGTCCGGCCTTCTGTTTTTTCTATTTCTTTCCAGATTGCATTTGAGAGATAACAGAAGTTATTTCTTATTTCTAAAGAAGCAAGTATACTTTTTTCCTCCCTCATATTTGGATTATGATAAATTAGATACAGAATGGCATTGGAAATTGTATCTTTTTTCTCATTTATTGTTTTCTTGAGTCAGGTGCCTTCTTTCTGTATGATTGTTTTTTGAAGATATTTCCATTGTGAAATAAGGAGAACATTAGACTGTGCATATTTTTCATAGTAAATATGTTGTTTGAATTTTGTGCAGAGTAGAAAGTGTGCAATCTGTTTTATAATCTACTATAAGTACTATTTTGAACTTAAGCCGCTGGAGCTAATCAGGACATGGTTTGCTGTTTCAGCTGGTTGATGAGTCTTCGTTCATGGTATTAAATTCTTCCTTCCATTTCTTGTTTCTCTGACTTCCCTGACTTTCCATAATATGGCAAAAATGAGTAGGATGATGCTAGAATACAGGCCAATTATTTGTTGGAGAAAGGGATGAGAAAGTCTTGTTTATGAGCTGATGTTACTGATGAGCTGATATTACATCCAGTATTTACTTTTTCCACCATTAATTGTTTTTGCACATGTGTTAGTATGACTGGTCATGTTGGCCTTTCTTGGTTTTGTCAAAATATTCAACTTGTTAGTATTAGAAAGAAACATTAGACTTGCTTAAGATTAAAAGTAAAAGCTTGGTGCTCTCAATTGAAGGATATACAATATTATGACTACACATAGTGATTAGTAGGACTGGTGGTATTCGTACGAGATACTCACCTAAATCCCTTCTCTCAAAATTTGACATTTCTGGAAAGACAGAAAAGCTACCGAGAAAGCTGTTTTTTGTGTTTTTTTTTGTTTTGTTTTTGTTTTTATGTTTTTTTTCTGAATCTCCCATGAATATCAGATTTAAATATTTTAAAAGTGCATGATGTTATAAATTAGAAGATTGCAGGAAGTAAGGGAGTTCTTAATTTATTCATATAGTTTCCTTTTTGATTACTATGTGCTAAGGTAGTCTCATGGCGAAAATGGGGGAAGAAAAGGGGTGACATAACTCTTTTAAATGAGGCAATCTTAAATATTCAGGCACACAAAACATTATTGGAGGCAGACTTTTGTACCAGTTTTCCTTTGCATTCATACAAAAATACATAGGATAGACTTATATCAATACCACTTTTTTTTGTGTGTGTGTGTGTGTGATTCTTATCTACCTCTACCATGATATTCTTTTCAGCAAAGACTATGTGAGACCTTTATGGAATATGAAAAATATTATTTTACACTGAATGTCTGCTTATCACCTACATAAAACTGTACATATGCTCAATATGGCAAGGTCTGTGAGTTGATTGTAAGGACTTATTATTTATGGCAAAATCCTTCTTAATACTGCATTTGATAATTAAATCTGCCTCCTAGTATCTTCAGGCCTTAAATCATTGTAACCAACAAAAAAATGACTTTATAGCTAGTCATCCTTTGGCCCGTATTGTAATTTTTATGTTAACTGCAATATTTAATCGAATGCTTTACCTTGCAATGTTTTGGTTTTTCAGGATGGGAAGAAGAAGTTTGACAAGGAGAGCGAGAAATATTATTCCATCCTAGAGAAGCACTTAAATTTATCAGCAAAGAAAAAAGAATCTCATTTGCAAGATGTAAGCACTTAACGTACTACTATTAACCAGTTTCAAGTTTGCATAGAGATGATGATAACAAACTACTACTCTTCAAAACATGCTATATTTTACTCACATGAAATCATTTGGTTGTAGTTATTTCTAGTTGCTAATGTTATGAATATAAACTCTTGAGTGAGATTAATGCAGACCTAATAAGAATTAAGTATTTTAACAAGGCAATATTTAACATTCCTGACTTGCTCTGTATATTTTAAGTGGCTATTTGTCTTTCTTGTGTGTGTGTTTGAGGAAAATTGCAGTAAAAGCAGCAAGTTGGTATTAATGACACTTTGACTCTTTGATTTGGTTTGTTTTTTTGCCAAAATAGTTAAATACCATTTTGAAAGGATTAGTATTGTCACAGTGGCTCTTAAATTTTAGAGTTTTTTTTTTTGCTGATAAAATTTTCACAAAAGATGTAGCCATCCCTCAGTCACAAATTACAGGATTTTTTTCATGTTTACCAATTATACTGCACTTAGACATAAATGAGGTTTAGAAATTTAACGTTTGTAATAATGTTTATACTCCTAAATTGTCATAACGCTCTGTATAATAAATGAGCTCTGATAAGACATACATTATGTCAGAATGGTTAATTGTTCCACTCATATGCAAGATTTAATAAATAGAGTTTTCAGTTTTCATCCACACCCTCTGTATTTATGAAGAAACAGTTCCATTAGAGGCTAAACAGCAGCCAAGAATTTTCATTCTTATCATCTTTTTTTCAAAATGTGGCAAAGTAAACTTAAGTACTGATTTATTCTGGAATACAAATAAAATATTTTACTATTGAGACAGGAGAATAACTGCAGTCTAAAAACAGCAACTGAAGTGAAAAGTAACAACTGTGACTCTAATAAACTGTGGTAGAATAACAATAGATTTGGCTCTGGTATATAAACTAATGGAAAATCAGAGTAAAATTTTCCACTGTGTCCTTAAGTGACATCCTTGCAATTGAGGCTGAGTTTTCTGATTTTCTGAATGCTTCACTTATAAAATATATTAGCCATCCCATGTCATGTTCATTCTCATGTTTTTTGCAAAATACAACCTTGCAGAGTCAACAACATCAACCTTACATGGGAGAACATACAATAATAAATCCCTACCAAAAATGTTTACTGGAGAGACTTCTGGGTTGTGCCACCAGTCCCCGGCCCCAGCACCAAGTGGTACCTGTGGACCCAAGTCCTCATTGCTTGGGGCCAGCCCCGTTTATAGCGGATTTGTTCCAAGAGGCTTTAGTTGGGCCTGGGAGCAGCACAGGCAGCTGGGGTTAGTGCTCGGTTCGGGGGAAGGCAGCTCCTCTCCTCAGGCCCACGTGTAGTGAGATGGTGCTCCCTCTGGAAATACCATTTTTTGGCTTCTACTGTCACACTGAAAAATACTTCTTTTTAAGTCCACTCTTCATTTCCTGACGTTTCTCGGTGTCTTGTTATGTTATGTGGGTTGAAAAGTTACTGTTGTGAGTATACTAAGTATACTATCTTTTTGAGGCTGTTTTATATATCTTGCTTGGATGTGATTCAGAGTTCCTTAATTTAACAGCTCCAGTTTGACAGTCCAAATATGTCATATGTAGGGTGGTTTGCATGTGTTTGTCTCACTGAAATATACTGGATAGCTTACAAGGCTACTGACAGTTCACGGCGATTGAGCCAAGTTTTCTCCCTTAGCATCAAAAGGCTACACAGGATTGTCTTTTGACTGCCCATAGAAATCCACAAGGAAGCTGAAGATTAAGTGACATGAAAAAAATAATAAACTCTTGATTTTACTTCTATGAAATCTGTTCCAAAGAACAGATATTTGCCTTTAGTTATATGTAAAGACAAAAATTTCATTCTGCCAGCTTGTGTGAAGATGTGATGCACATTTTAGTGATATCCTAGATCAATTGAAACACTGCTCACTATAAATATGTATCACACAGATAGAGACTCAAAACCCTATGCATAAAATCTTTCATTTTTTACATTCAGTTCAATGTTATATAAAAATGTGTGAAAACCCCTTCAGCTCTTGAAACATTAAAATCCTTTCCAGAGCAGTTCTGAAAATCTGAATCCTCAGTGTTCACACAAATTCAGCAACTCTGCAGAAGGTGAGTTTTGGAAACTATGATTTAATCCCTGTACCCTAGTGGTTATTATGACCTTAATTTAGGAACCATCCATATTTGAGATGGGTACTTAGTTATCATAAGTATCATTGCAATTACACTTTGCTTAAGTGCTGTTCAGAATAGAGATTAATTTAATTATGTATTTAAATACTTCTCTGAATCAAAGCCTGAAAGAGCTTGTTTCTAAAATTGAATTATACAGTTTATTTACAATTAAATGTGAGAATTGAGGTCTGTCTCAAGTGCTTAATGACTGCACTTCTGTGAGGCCACATCCCAAAATGGTGGTACTTGGTTCTGTTTAGCTGAATTGCATTCTTGAGGTAGCATATTTTTTGTGAAATAAAACTGTTAAGACATAATATGGAGAGAAGCAGCAGCTGGACATATTGCATGAATGGCACATGGCAGGGTTCATTTTTTGTTAAAACACTCCATTCTTGGCGTTTTGAGGTTTTGATCTCTATTTCATTTCAGTTTTTGACCCTGATTTGCTTTTTTATAGGCATAGGAAGGAAATGGTGCTGCTTCCTTGGTACTAGATCACTAGGGGTGAAGGTCAATACTGCTAAGGGTCTGTCTTGCCTAAATCGTGATAGTAGCAGGTCCTTAGCTAAAGAACTGTTAATTGTGTATGGTGCCATTGAAGATAGAGCCCTATTTAAAGAAATACATTGTTTTCTTCATGTATATGGTATTAAAAACCCTTTTATTATGAGTTTGTTATTTTAATGTCTAGGGTAGACAACATCTAGCTTTTCCATTTTTCCTACATTTGTTGTTTATAATGTTAGAATTTAACTGTAGAGTATACAAAAGTGCAGAGCTTTATTTTAACTGGTATAAATCAAAAATAGCGAAACTGGTTTCCACTCACACTGTCCGAACTTGGTAACATTTCTTGTTGACCAAAGACTAAAAACTGACAATTGCAGCCCAAAAGAGCTTGACAAAGTGATTTTTTACTGTAAAGTGAATCTTCAAATGGAAGCTGCATCTCTTCTTGAGTATTATCTACACATTATGCAGCCTGTTTCTTAAACTGTTTAAAGTGAGGTTGAGTAATTGTTAGTCTTCATCAGCTGAAAGAATTAATTCTCATTCTGGCAGAAATCTGTATTTTGGCACTGGATCTTCATGGTGGATTGCAGGTATTATTCAGACATTTCTGACAAATATTGCCTTTTGTTTCTGGCATTTTGAAAATGCAAATATGAAAAATAACTGATTTATGAGAGTAAGGGCTTGAAGATGTTTATATTCCCAGAGAATGTGACTGATACCGTGAAGAAATAGGCTGCAGGATTTGTTAAAGACACTGTATAAAGATAAAATAAAATTCTTGAGAAGGTATTTTAAACTGAGAAATATATTTTTGAGCATATGGTGCTCAAAAATTTCAATAGAAATATTAATCATTTTGTCCCTACTTTGAGTCCCCTCCTCATTCTAAGGTTTCCATGTGCCTGGAACCTGTTCACTGTGCCACCTTTCTGGCCTTCCTTTGAGGTGCTCTTAAAACTTTAATACATTGAATGCAAAAACAAAAGGAAACCAAACAGGAGTGGGAAGAAACATTGTGTTAAAGTGTGTATCAGCTTTAAACTTGCATTTAACTCTTCTAAGTAGGTATTTAGATTTCCAGAAGAACTCCATATAGCTTGTAGTAGTAGATCTTATGGAAGATCTGTTTGGTAATGAGAAAATCTCGTGTTTAAGCAGTTGTGAAAGTAAAATAATGTCTATATTTCATTTTGCTTTTTAGGCAGATACACAGATTGACCGAGAACATCAAAACTTTTATGAAGCATCATTAGAATATGTTTTTAAAATTCAAGAAGTACAGGAGAAAAAGAAATTTGAATTTGTTGAACCCGTAAGTTTCATATTTACTTTCTTTACCAGATTTAGAGTGCCGGTATTTAAAGTTGAAAGTTTATTTTAAAATTCCACTTTTTGCTCTCCTTTTAATTGTGAGTATAGGTCATTTGTGTATAGATAGACATGAAATCTTGGCTTGGGTATTTTCTCTGTTTATTAAAGGTTTATATAAGAGTATCATATCTACTGTGAAGTGAAATGTTGAATGACATGGAATGTGCATAACATTTTAATCGGACCACATGCAATGTTGTGTCTCTGCAACAAATAATGGCTATTTCCTAATACTATGGCTGCAATTTTGAGCCAGTTTTTGGATTTAAATATTCTGTGTATGTAGCATACCTGTCACTTGCATTTTTTTTTTTTCAAATTATACATGAGAAGTGCAAAATCAGTTCTTCTGCAGGGGAGATAAGTTCATTTTTTATAGTCATTTGTCTGTAGCTAACTACATAAAAAAAGAAAAAGAAAACACATCCTGAGATAGGAATAATAGAAGCTAAAGTTATGTTTATAAGGTAATGAAGTTATGTTCCAAAGTCCATATTCAGGTCTGAGATTTGGCACCTGAACTGCACTTTTTTGCTCACTATCTGCTGGAGCAGTCAGGATCTGAGGCAATGACAGTGCAGTGGACTAGCATATCTCTGTGGCATATTAGCAGTATGGATATTGTTTCTGCTGTGCACTTGCCACTTAGTGAGTACCTGCAGCCCGTGGCAGAGAACGCCCAATGCCAGCTGTGCCTTGCAGAGCATCTCTTGTGAAGGGGGAACACGGCAAGCACAACTTTCTTCTCTCTCTCCAAACCATCTTCCAGCTTCCTTGTAGCTAACTGGAGCAGCATCCTTGACTGTGAAAGAGGTTGAATTACATCTCTAATGGCCAATAGCATCAAAAAAAGCTTCTCAGATGCCTTCTTTCCATGAGAGGAGAATATATTGTATAGTGAATGTTTGACATTGATGCAAACTAATGAACCTGGATTCAGCAAGCAGTACTTACAGAAATCCTATCTTTATGGCATACAGCTGCCAAATCTGAGAGACTAAAACTTTCCTTGGATTCCTAAATAAGAACATTTTTCTACCTGTCATAGATTAATCCAGAGTGTCTCTCTGTCGACTACTGCAGAACTCTCACATCCTGGAAAAATCTAGCAATCTTGACCTAGCTCTGACCCTGCTATAGGAGGTCTCATGCTCCTTTAAAGTAATAGAAACTTGCTGTATCGAGGAGGCTTTTGTACATCAGGAAGTACTATTTTACAGTTGCATATACTTAAAATAGGGCATCTTTCTTTCCATGTCCTAGACAGAAAAAAAAAAATATATATATATATATATAAAACTTGGCTGAAGATAATGAAGATAACTGTACATTATGCACAGTAGAGGGAAGATGAAAAACACTGTTTGTTGCTCTTTTTTGGGAGGGGAAGGGGAGCCAAGATCAATGCCTTGATTAGCTTAGACAACATCCCATACAGCTGTCCCCAGGCTCCGTGACAACAGCAGCTATAAATTATCAGGATGAAGGAGTTATTTATCAGTGTATCAGTGCTGATGCAAAGCAGGCAAGGGAGGCTGCTGGTAAACTGAGTGTTGTGGACACGGGGTGTGTTGTCACGGGGTAGCTTTGAGTAATCACTGGCCATGCTGTGTCAAATCAGTTGTCTCTCTTGTCCAGCGAGCTGTTAGTTGCACTTGATATTACAGAGGAAGCTACAGGAAATACCATGGTGGGTGGTAAGAGCCACTTCAGGAAGGGTCTTCCATCCCCAGCGCGCAGGTTAGCATGTAACATCAGTTATTAAAACTTGAAACTTGGCACCTTCAAATTTTCTAAGTTTTTATATCTTGTATGTTGTATACAACATGTTGGAATTGAAACACTTAGGAAAAACACAAAGTGTAAAGTATGCTAAACAGATTGGAGCACATATAAGCAATAACATGAGATGAAGAAACAGATCTGCAAAATAGACTTTCTAAAAATGCATAGTTTATGCAAGCAATCTATGAACTATGAGCATGTGCTTCTAGATGCAAATAGGGAAGGACAAGGACTAACTTTCTAAAATCAGATGTCAAAAGAACTACCCTATTCATCATTTTCCTCTGTGTGCTCTACAGATGTTCAGATGCTAGAAATTGCCTATTGGAGGCATATTGTATGAATATACATTCAGCCTTTCCTCCTCAAAAGCTGTGCTAGTTGTGGGTTTCCTAGTACTTAGGCTTATGCCTCTGAGTTGTCAGCTCAGTGTCACATCTCTTTATAATTTGCAGTCTGATGGGTTAGTAACAGTCATATATCATTAAACTCTCCTTCAAAGAGCAACTCTGTTAGTTTAGTGATGGCGGATGTTGTGGTGCCCACATGGAAGGAAAAGTTCATGCAATGAGAGCAGACCTCAGAAAGGAGATAACCCGCTGCAGTGCAGGTCCTTCCAAGATCTTTGGTTTGTCTATGCCAAAAGATACCGTGGTCTAGGACAGAGTGAGTAAAACTGGAGTGGACGTGTTACACCCTGGGAAGCAGCAGCTGCTAGAGTGGAGAATGTCCCTCCCCTCCAAGGAGGGGAAGAAATTTAGAGGGATGAAATGCTGATGGCTCCTACCCTGGGCAGGGGATTCCGGTTTGTAGAGGAGACTTGTGCAGCTGGGCCTCCTTCCTTGGGTGTCTCTGCTGTGCTGTGCCACTTGCTTCAAGGAGTGCTAACATATATTAAAATATGAGTATTTGGCAGCTGCATATTTGTGATCCTCCTAGATACTGATATTTTTCAAAGAAAACAAAATATACTAAACCTCTTCCTTCAGGTTACAAGTTTGAACCTCCTGTCAAGCACGACTTAATTTTACATTTTACCCTACAGCAGGCTAAAAACAAAACAGTAAATGAAAATAATCTCCGCTCCTAGTTTTGCCATTTGGGGCCTGGAGGACATAGTCAAAACCAATGTGATTTTCTGGGAATGTACAGTTTTTAAGGGCAAAATGTAAACTCCTTCCTAGGGCTTTGTTTTGTCCCTCAGTAGTGGCAGGATTTCCATTGGCCTACAGGGATCAGGACCCAAAGCTCAGAAACAGTAAATTATCTGCAGTGAGAGGAATGGTCCATCAACTGTCACAAAAGCCTAGAAATGTTTATTTAAAGAAAAAAAAATCTTGAGTGGAATTGCATGCAGTCCCACAAGACTTCAGTTTTTCAGCTAAAGAAACTGTGAATAATAAAACTCAAACTCAATTTCCCGTTTCTTGGATTTCCTACGTTATTAGCCACATTCACTGTAATCTGATGGGTAAGTACCTTCTGGTGCTCTCTACTTATAAATAAAATGAAACTGGGGAGACAGGGACTTTAGGCTGATGCGCTGCAGGCCAGAGGTTAAATTCCTTCCCTATCCAAAACCTAAGTGCAGTCATCTTCCTGTGAGAATGAAATGACCAAGCAGTTCTTGAGGTCACAAGCTCTACGTAAAAATAAATAAAGTCTCGCGAAGGAGCTGGATTTGGTTTCAGGTCCCATGTTGAAGCCCTTGCTGCTGTGGCAGAGAGCAGGGTTGCATTACTGAGGTCAGGCTTTGCTTTGCACCGGCCTGGCTGGTTAGCTGCTCAGAAAGGGGTCACTAGAAGGGATCGTTACACTTGCAAAAATCAATGTTTATGGACACGTCAGAGATTATTTGTGATATGTAGTGAACTGAGTCATCTCTTCACGTGTGAAAACCCCCTTGAAACACATTTAGAAAATCTTTTTTTTTAATTGAAAGAATGTCTGATTGTACTTTTTTTGTGTGTGTTATTTAAAATAAATCTCTTAAAATTATGAGCCTGACCCTAGTGTCAGTGCCACATGTGGCATCAGCACCAACACGGCCATGCTGGCAGTAGGATGTAGCGCAGAGGTGCGTGACTTGGAGATGTCCGTGCACTGCGATGGCAGCGCGGCCGCTGCTCCTCGAGGGAGCCCAGAGGTGGGGAAGTCAGCACCGGCCCTTTGGATGAGTGGTTTTTGGGCCCCCTCATCTCCCACCACAGGGCTGTGTTCATAGGAGCAAACAACAGCCCCAGCATCAGTGTCTCCAGCGCAGAACATCACTAATCTGGACTGCGCCTGGCATACAAGCAGCACATTTTTACTTTTATACCTGTTTCTCTGTAAGCATGCAGAGGATTTGACCAATTTCAAGGCCAGACCTTCTGCAGTGCATAACGGCCGGAATGCAGAGCAGCAGTTTAGCTCAAGTGCCTCCTGATCTTTTTTTGTTGTTTTATTTTATTTATTTATTTTTTTCCCTTCTTGTTGTTGTACATATTTTCTGTTCTCAGATAGCTTCAGCTTTGCTGCCATCTAGTGCCCACTGCTTTCCCCTTGGTGTGTCTCAGTGTCCTGCATACTCCATAAAAACTGGTTGTGCGACAGAAACTGCCTTTCCTTCAGTATTCATGCTGAAGTTTACCCAGTTCTCAGAACGTTCTTTAGAAATGATTTTTAAGCAGATCTTTAAAGAGATCCTGGGAAGGAATAACCGCAGACACCAGTATAGGCTGACCTTCTGAAGAGCAGCTCTGCAGAGAAGGACCCGGGTGTCATGGTGGACAACAAGTTGACCATGAGGCAGCAGTGTGCCCTCGTGGCCAGGAAGGCCAATGGGATCCTGGGGTTCATTAAGAAGAACATCTCCAGCAGGTCGAGGGAGGTGATCCTGCCCCTCTGCTCAGCCCTGATGAGGCCGCATCTGGAGTATTGTGTCTAGTTCTGGGCTCCACAGTACAAGAGGGATGTGGAGCTGCTGGAGAGAGTCCAGCGCAGGGCTACAAGGATGAGCAGGGGCCTGGAACATCTGCCCTATGAGGAGAGGCTGAGGGAGCTGGGCCTGTTCAGCCTGGAGAAGAGAAGGCTGAGAGGGGATCTGATCTGTGTTTATAAATACCTCAAGGGAGACAGTGAGGAGGATGGTGCTGGCCTCTTTTCAGTGGTGGCTAGTGATAGGACAAGAGGAAATGGTCACAAACTGAAGCAACAAAAATTCCACAGGAACTTAAAGAAAAATGTATTGACAGTGAGGGTGACAGAGCACTGGAACAGCCTGCCCAGAGAGGTTGTGGAGTCTCCTTCTCTGGAGATCTTCAAAACCCGCTTGAATGCAATCCTGTGCCACGTGCTCTAGGTGACCCTGCGTGTGCAGGGGGGTTGGACTAGATGACCTCTAGAGGTCCCTTCCAACTTCAACAACTCTATGATTCTATGAAAGCCAGGCATAGACTGCCCTGCCTCTTTCCCCGCTGTTGCTGTCGCTGCAGTTTGGGATGTGCTCCAACGGTTGCCTTAGTCTGCTCATGTGGCTATCGTGCTGCTTCTTCCACTGAAAAAGAGGGCTTAGCACTAGACTAAACCAGGGAACCACTTGCTTTAGGTGAGGGAACAACAGCGGCTGGGGACCTGAAGCTGGACCTGAGGGTGCAGCTGGGGCTGGGGGGCAGCACGGGCAGAGCTGCGCAAGAGCCTAGGGTTTGTGCTTGCTACTTTATTCACAAGCAGATTGGATGGAAATTGGTTTTTGTTTTTTTAAAAAAAGATTGGAATTGCTCTAGAAAGGCCAAAAACTCCTTATGTCTGCTTATGTATTTGGAACCTTTTAAGATCAGTTGCCGTATTTTGACCTTCATCAGAACCGGAGGCCACATCCTCAGGCTGCCCTCTGTGACAGTTCGCGTGCCAGCTGAGGAGTTTTTGCTCACCTTGGTTGTCCTTGTTGCTTTCCCAGGGGTTGCAGTTCATAAATCCCATCCATTACCTGGGCCCCCTGGAAAGCCACACAGTGGTTGGACCACCTGGAGCTCTCACCACCTTTGCCTGAGGCTGAAATGCCCTCTTGCAGTGCAAGCAGGAAGCAAGGGGAGGTTATCCTCCCATCCCTGCCTTCACACTTACCATCTGTGCTCTGTAAGCCTTGAGCTGCTTTCACTTACTAATGCAGGAAAAAAAAAAAAAAAAGGCTTTCTGAGTCAGAGCTGCCCGTTGAAGGGCTCCTGATACCAGAGGTGCTGGAGGGACATGTGGGACATGTAGCAGTAAGAGCTCTTTGCGGTAGCAGCAAGCTGGAGCATAAGAGCCCCTGCCCATAGTGCTGTGACTTTTTCTTCTCAGCCTTTAAGAATGAAAGTTTGTGCACTGAAGTGTGTGGAACCTCTTTCAAACCTCAAATTGATGGGGCTCTAAAGCTCCACAAACCTATTTTAGCCATTCCCTTGAAATTCGTGCGTTCTTCTTGGAGAGAGTGAAGCAGAACAGTTTAGTGAGCTTACTCAAGGAAGGTATAAGCGTAGATTTAAAGAAAATATAAACATGGCAAAATCTGTATCTTTGAAGTTGTTTCATTTAGAATAATCTATGGTATGGGTGGAACAAAGAAAAGTGCATTAGATATGAATGGTGGAATTTGTGATACCTAACTCTGAGCAGTCTAAAGTTTATTTAGTAGTTGGTGGAGGGAGATAGATGTTTCCATTGGATCATTCATCCCATCCTGAGAAAGAAGTGTCAGAAAGGAAAGAAAATTATGTGTTTGAAAATCTGTGTTTTTCTTCTGAGTTAGGAGGCAGCCTAGACAATTAGCTGCTCAGGCTAGATGGATATAACATAGTAAGATAAATCACAGCTGTTTTTCTGCTTTTATTGTTATATGTTTCGGGGAAAATATATATATATATTTATCTTTACTTGACTGTATTTAAGCTAAATTACATATACAAAGGGAAACGTTCCACAATAAAAATTCAATGCTTGTTACTTAATACCATGTGATGTAACTTACCACAATGTCTAGACAGACATTACTTTCTTTTTAACAGTTTAAGTTAGATGACATTTTAAAATTAATAGGTGGTAGGAATGTTTTGTTGCTGAAAACAAATACAAAATTTAATTGTGCTGATTTTTTTTCTTTCTAATATCTATATGAATAAAAGAGTTAATTGGTCATTTAAGAACTATTTTTCCACTATCATAGGCAATATTCATTATTTCTGAATGTGTGTGTGTGTGTGTTTTACTTGTAGTATTTAACTTAAGAGCACTTGTTAAAATCTGTAATGTTTATTTAATTTGCCTTTTCAGCTTTTGGCATTTCTTCAAGGATTATTTACGTTTTACCATGAGGGATACGAACTGGCTCAGGAGTTTGCACCATACAAGCAGCAGCTGCAGTTCAATTTACAGAATGTAAGTGATTTGTATTTATGCCATTTTGTTTGCTAATTTGATTTCAGGATATTAAAGCAAACTCATAGCATTATATTGGAACTGTAGATCTTGCAATGTTGCAGCAATCTGTAATGAAATTATTGTGTAAATAGGTACAAAATATTTTGGTAAGCATATTGTGATGAAGATTCCACTCAACAAAGAACTCCAGAAAATCAATCTTTGCTTCAGAGCTTCTGTGACCAAGACCCAGGCAAGTGGGCCAGCAGCCAGGTTTCATTAAAAAGCACAATTGTCCAGATGATAGGTTTAACCATGTAGGTTAAGTTCTTTCTTGAGAGTGGGATCTATTTTCTGAAGTAAATGAATGTCCCAGAAATGGTCCATCTGGTAAAGAATGGTGCAATTCATTTCTTTAAAATTGCAGGTTGCCATGAACAACTTGTTCTGCTGTCCACTGTCTTCCTCATGGATATGAGGCATCTTTTGGAAGGCCTTCCCATACTGAATTTAGTCTGTCTGCATAAGAGAACTAGTTGGGCCTTCCTGCATGGGAAGCAGCTCTCACAAGCATTAAGTTCCACTGGAAAAAAGATTTTCCTAGATGTATAGAGAATACTGCCAATCGAATGTATGGATTGTTTGCTGTATCTTGGTCTAAATTTGGACCTAAAGGCCATACAGGATGAGGTCGTTATCAAAGTTCCATGGCTTTCAAAAGAAAAAAAAAACAATAAAAAAGCATTTAATCAATATATTTTCTCCATCTATTATAACTGCTGTATACAAATAATATTTCCCTGTGAGGAAATCAATAGAGAGAATTAATACTTTATTTTAAAGTGTTTATCGTAGAGTCAGATTTTACAATTCCAGGCACATGTAATCCATTAGCTTTTGCTTTTAAGGAGAAAAGTAGAATTAAACATGTTAATATTGGGTCAACTTTATGGTTTTTTTTTTTTTCTTTTTGCCAAGTACCTTCAAAGTGAAGATCAAATGAAAAAAGAGTGATAGAAATATATCATTTTACTCAGGCTGTTGTATTTTTGGAAAGAGAGTTTTTGTTTTTCTTCAGAGAAGAAAAGATACCCACCTAACAGGAGCTGTTGTAGCTCCGCTAACGTTAATGACGCAGCCACAGTGTGGAACAGCGGGCGTCAGCCTCGTGGGTCGTGCAGTGGGTGCTGGACTTGGGTGACACAAATATGTCTGTGAGCACAAGAACTCCTCCCTATCTCCACAGCAAGGGGCGCTCCCTGTGGGTTGCTGGAAGATGTAGAGAGAAAACTATTCCCTTGAGCATCTTGTCCTCAGGGCTGTGTGGTTGCTCTGGCGTGGAAGCTGGCACTGCCTGCCAAGGTTAACGTAGCTCTGTGTTCTCAGTAGTACTGCACTCTTCCAGGTTTTGTCACCTTTAGCCCTTTCCGTTAGGCTGTTTGTATGCCTGTTGTTCATACATAGATATGGATCCCTTTTGGAATGCTGCCTGGGAAATTAGACTAAAGTTCCTTGGTTCCTTCTCTGAAGCAAAATGCAAAAGTTTTTCTTTGTCCATATTGCACATCAGTCACTTGTCCTCTCAACTTATGTAGTTGCGGCATTTTCTTTTTCTTCTGAGACTGTTTCAGGTAAAGGCACAAGGGGTCAGTGTTGTTGCATGGCACAGGTTGCTGAAAGGCTGAACAAATGTGCATCAGTCCAGGATTTAATTTAACGTGGCAATTTCTGATAGGAGCGTGACAGATAAGAGCACAAACCTAAACTGAAAGTGTAATACAGGATGCCTTTAAATGCCTACCTTTCTCTCTGCTTAATTTGCCTTTTTAAGGTGAGCATTTGGAAGAGGAAGATTTAATATATGTATTAGTATACTACAATGTAAAGTATAGCGTATGTCACAAAAGCTTTTCTAAGCACCTCTAGCACCTCACATTTCCACAGCTCTGCAAGGTCAGTAGGTGTATAACTAGTTGAGAGGTGAGTCCATGCTCTTGCTGTCTTGTAAACATCTTGTGAAGGTGCTAGTACATAACTTCAAAAATGCAAAGACACATTAAAAAGGGAAGGTATTCACCAGAATGTAAACTCCCGAGAACATCTTTCTGATTAGCTGGGATTAAATTCCATAGGGCTTCTGACTTGGTGCCTTAAATTACATATGGAGAGAAGAGGACTGCAAAATACTATGAAAACATGACCTGAGTATAGGAAATGACATCCTTTCTGAGGTTATGGACCTGTGGAAAAAGAAATGCTACTGCTCTCAACAGTAATTTTCCTTGAATTGAATTCCTCTGTTGGCATGACTTTTAGAGCAATAAGGAGTGTGGGTTTGTTTCTGTTCATCTTCCTTTTACGTCTATGGCAAGCGTTTCTGCTTGTCTGTATTTGATATAATCTCACTTCTTGGCATTATTGCTAATTTGTTTTTAATTTCATTGTTGGTTTAGTAATTGTGTGAAATATATATATATTTTCTTTTTTTTTCTGTTTTTAATTAGACCCGAAATAACTTTGAAAGCACTAGGCAGGAAGTGGAGAGACTCATGCAAAGAATGAAAGCAGCCAACCAGGATTACAGACCACCCAGTCAGTGGACGATGGAAGGCTATCTCTATGTGCAGGAAAAACGTGAGTAAAAAGATGCACCTTTTAGTTTAATGTGAAGGCACAACAAAAAAACACATGGATGAGAAACTGGATTAGTTAGCAGGGCTGCACAGCAGTTCTGAGATTGAATGTCACAGACTCTCCTATCATTGCTTTCCAAAAAGATTTAAAGGAGAAATAAGTTTTTGATTATTTGATCTTCAAGCAGTCAGAGTAAGGAAGTCCAGATGACACAGTGATAGAAATGCTTGTGTACAGCACTGCTATCACTCACTGTGTCCTTGTTGGCAAGTGTCTTCTGCTGGCCCCCTCACTGGCTGAGTGGCAGCAAACTCAGCTCAGGCCCCTTGCTCTGAGCTCTGGTGCTGCCCAACTCCTCGTGCAGGAGCTGCCAACTCCCAGCTCCCCGTGGCGGCTCTGCTGCTGCACCATCTCCTGAACTTTCCCTGCCTGAACAAGCTCCATGATTCATTCAACAGGAGCAACATCCTCTTTACAGCACTGGTCGAGCGACGTAAAGAGTAAAGGAATATGCACATAATTGAGAACAAGTGAAAACAAAGAGGTCAGAAGAAGAAAATACATCTAGCTACAGTCTGTCACAGCTTCATAATAGCTACAAATGTATACCTGATTGTTACTCACTTTGTAAGTAATGAGAATGAAGTGATGTCCAAAAAGAATAGAGGAATAACAGTAAAGTCGTTCTCACCTGAGAATTCTTGGGGAAGCTTAGCAGTAAATGTAATGAAGGAAAACAGAATAAGGAAATATGGGTAAAGTCAGATGAGAGAATACAAAGCTATATGTGATCTGACGTATCTTTTGCCATTATTTTACAATCTAAACACAAGAAAATCAAGCCAAATTAGCTGCGTTAGGCAGGATCATTGAAAACCTTGGTAAAATAGTTTGGAATGCACATGGCACCCAGAGCTTGCTTTCACATGGAATCAGTCTGATGCCAGAAGAGTAGACAGCAATCATTTGAGATAATGTGTATGTGTTTGTGAAAGTTTGATGTACATTCAGAAATGATTGAATACTGTTTTGTTTACATCTGTTTCTCGATATAAAATTAAAATAGGAGTTATTGCAATATAAAATTCCAGTGTCAGACCTGGTGCCACTCAGCCTCAGTTTTGAGGGCGTCTTCTCCTTCTCTCTTAGATAATACCTCAAAAGACTAGGTGATACTATAGATGATTATTTTTCTGGGTAGCATCCTGAAATTTAATTTTATTTCATATGTGAGATAGCAAAAGAAAATCTCAGTGCTTATAATAGTTAACCTCAACACTTTTAGCCTCTGTAAGCACTGAAAGTTGTAAGAAAAGCCCCTATATTTTAGGTGAATAATAATGATAAAAGAAGCCTGTGTTTAAGTGGAAATTACACTGAGGCCTGTTAATGGGGGAGGGAGGAAAGGAGTGAAGCATTGGGCACATGCTGTGCTTCATTAAATAGTGAGAGGCCAACTTGACATCCTCTGACTGAAAAGAGTTTATTCATTAGTTTATTCTGGAGTAAGAATAACACGTCTGTAAGCTGTGTGTCAGAGGGAAGGCACCAGTTGTATTTCCTTGACATGCTGGTTTACTTTCCTTAAACCATGATCCCGTAGGCTCCTGTCAAATTATAGACAACTGGGTTAATCTTTGCTATTATTGAGAATATAAATAAATATTTTATATGTTTAATACTGATAACATGGGACATGGTAGATATGTTTGTGGGAAATATGTCAGTTGGCCTTAAATTTCTTTTTATTCATGTGGATAGTCATTACGAATAAAAAACCTAAAGTTGTAATGTAGGTGTCTGGTCAGAATTTTTTTAACGTTAGATGTATAGATTTGATTTCATGATGTCTCATTTTAAATACAGGTGACTTCTAAAGTCATTAAAACTGTTTTGGGAGTGATGCTCCTTCTAATATATGCTAAAAGAATTGAGGAGGAAAAAAAATGCATTACAATTACCATAGATGCTGTTTTGTTAAACAAAAAAAATAGAATATAGGAACACAGCAGCTATCTTCCAGGAATGGGTAAATAGCTGACTTCCTGTTGCCCAGGCTGCGTTATATTACTTTCCTGTGAGATGCAGACAGTGCAAGCCCACTCTGTGAGCAGGCTTGGGATGGAGTGTGAACACTTGCACGCTCACATCTGTGGCTTGCCAGGCAGCTGGTTTACGTGATTGATACAGTCTTTAATGCACCTTTGTGCAGAACCATTGTATCTATAACAAATTTGCACTGCTTGTTTTTAACATCTTTGATTTCAGTTTAACTATTTACATTAAAAAACCTGTAACTTTTAACTCCTTTAAAAATAATTAACATACCCAGATATACTGTTCTTAGAAAAATCAGTGTCATTTTTATTTCTCAGTAAAAAGCTCTTTCCTATTCTGGATTTGTATATTAGTGTAGTGTATTACTACACTGTATGTTTTTGCAGATAGAGTGCGTGTTTGAATGCCAGTCTGTGAAGTACATTCTGGTCCAAGAGGAAATAACACTTTTCCTTCTTGGATACCTCTTCACACACAGGCATTTTGTTTGGTCTTTGAGCCTGAGTACCCAGAAGCTAAGCCTATGCTTGTCAAATAAGTGGGACTATGCTCTGGCACGGTGATCAACTTGTACATAATATCCCGCCTGCTATGCTGAATTTCCTGTCCTCAAAATTCAAGAAGTCATGTCCAAGTTACATATGAGACATATTTCTCAAGTCATGTCCAAGTTACATATTGAAAATGGCATCTGGCCAGAGCATCTGGCTCAGACGGTTTTCTGGAAGAGTAATAATCGACCTGTGCCAAAACTGAGCCAAGGATAATTCCCATAATGTCAGCTCCCAGTGTCTACAGATATTCCCAATATTATTTAATTTATCAGTACTGAAATGGTCATGATGTTATGGTCCAATCTCATTGCAAAAACCTACCTGAATTATCCTGTGCTCTGCAGCACAACACCACTCCAGGTGTATTCATAAGAATTTGAGAGCTTATCATGTTCTATGTGCTACAAGCAAGCAGCTTTTCCAGAAAACTATGGGAGATTTTGGCTGTGCTTCTAGGATATGCGGAGAGTTATGAAGGTGTTGAGAGGGTATAGAACTTTCTCCCTCCTCTCTAAACTCACTGTCACTCACCGTCGCTTAACTTCACTCTGCCTTTTTACTTCCTTTCCCTATTCCCTTGATGGCATAATCCTGTTCTCCTGTATCTCTTCCCCACCTGAATGCTGTTGCCCATCCTGTTGATAGAGAGAGCCAAATTGATGATGCTTGGGGCATTATCAAATAGATATTTGAAAATTAGACCTAAATGACAAAACGAGGGGAGTTTTAGATTTTGTGTGCTGTATGTGGACATTGTTGTGTTTCATCTCTCTATTGAATATAGCTCCAGCTAAAGTAGTGATAAAAATTTCAAAGAAAAGGTATTTCTAATGCTCTTTTTCTTTAATCTAGGACCACTTGGATTTACATGGGTAAAACATTACTGCACTTATGAAAAAGGAACAAAGACGTTTACAATGTGTATAACTGAAACAAAATCTGGCGGAAAAGTGGTGAGTATTACACAATCTCTAAAATGGGCTTGTAACTTCCATTTTTTATATTAAACATTCAGGAAGGGTTAAAGAAAGATTTGATGAGAAAAGTTTAGGACTGTTTTCTTTTCATATATGAGCAGTGTATGTTATTTGTAGCATATTTAAATACAATAGCCATTATTTAAATAAAGTATTTCTTGTGTAACATATGTAAACTAAGTATATTCAGTTTCATCTGAAACCTTGCTCTCAGCACATTCAATCCCATCATCCAATTCATTAGGGAAGGTCTTAAACAGCACTGTCACACTGTTTGCCCTGAAGGACTCCATTGGTGACTGGCTTCCAGCTGGGATTTGTGTGGCAGACTACAACCCTGTGAGCTCAGCAGTTCAGCCAATTTTCAGTCCACTTCATCAGTCTGTCTGTAAGACTGTTACGGGAGACGGTGTTGAAAGCCTTCCCGAAATTAAGATATTTAACATCCATTGCTCTCCCTTCATGTACCAAGCCAGTCATCTCATCAGAGAAGACTGTCAGGCTGGTCAAGCATGATTTCCACTTTCTTGTGCTGTATGTATTTGGAAATGGCTTTAAGGAGGATTTACTGCATCAGCATGCCAGGGGTCAAGGTGAGGCTGACCAGTCTGGTGTCCTCCTTGCCCTTGTAAAAGAAAGGGGTGACATTAGGTTATTTTTCCCAGGCTTCTGAAGTCCCACATCCTCCTATCTCCACAACTTTCTAATATTATTGATAGTGGCCTTGCACTGACATCTGACAGAACTAGGAGACACCAGAGATAGAGAACCTTATCTATAATCTTTCAAAATCTATTCTGTGCATGTGAAAGTTGATACCAGTGCATGATGTTATTTCTAACATATCCCAGCAATCTTATTCTCACAAATATTTGTGTACTTTTTTTAAGGATTTTTACTGAATTTTGTGTTATACTGGAATAAAATCAGATAAGAGATATCTAACAAAAACTATTAAATATATTCCTACTTTATGTGTAGGTAAATTACTGTGAATGTTCCTAAATTATTTGAATCCTATCTTAATGCATGTTCCCTGGGACTGTTTGTGCAGTTAAATTCAAG